GGTATTTCAACTAATTTGCGGTAAAACTAGTCGATCACGAGTGGCTCATCTGGTAGATCTATAGATAAACTCATCTTTCAGGCATTTGATCGACCGGGTTGACACATCAGCGTGAGAAATCAGGAGTGTGGTGTGAGAGCGTGAGAATTGGCTCGATTGCTTGAGTCTCACGCTGAATGAGTGTTAATGCGGGTGACCATCTTATACTTTTATCTGATAATTCTCTGATGTTTATCACAAGTGCAACTCGACTTCCTCGAGATTATAAAATGTTCATCAGAAATCCACATGTGTGAAAAGTGTCTGAATCAACAGTTTGCTACTTTGATAAGAAAGCATCAGCTAAAGTTATTGCTCATGTAATCATTACTGATGAAGAACAGCGGATGAATCGTCCTCATCTGTAATGTTACTGTATGGGATCATCAGCACAGAGAGAGAATTAAGGGAAGACACACACAGACTGGTTGTTTTAATTTTGTATAAATCAAGCCCTGACTACAAACACTAAATCTCTTGCATAAAAGGAGAAACCGTGTTTTATATAAACCCGTTTTTAAACTCACCAACCGAACACAAACACAAACACAACTAAACTAATTTCAGAAACGCTTTATTCAACGGTTCTCGGGAAAGCCCTTAAATGTCTGAAAACGTTCGATTACTGCCGTAACCCGGTTCTCTGATAACAGGAAGTGAGGTATCTCACTATGGGAACGCCCCTGGGCGTGTCTGATCGCGGAAGCACCAATCACAGCACGGCTGCCAACCATGGAGTCCCGGCTCGCTGTATATAAACCAAAGCGACCTGCCGTTTCGTCATTCGTCATCAGATATCAACCTCACCAGCTCTGAGACGAAGGACATTGCTTACAAATGAACATTTGAACACCTCTCACACACACACACACACACACACACACACACACTCACAAGAATCGATATGGTTTTAATGTGAATGATCATCTTTAAGGATTGTTTAGTATCATTTTAAAGGTCTCAGGGTGACTGGTATAGATGTCTCATTCCCAAAGAAGTAAAACAAAAGGTAATAATGTTTTTAAGAGTTTAGGAATAACTGGCACACAAAGGAATGTGTCTCTCGGCACTCCCAAAAGTGTAAATTGATGAATGCTGATTTCTACTGTTCCCAGCAGATGGTCAAACTTCTGCCCCAGTGAGTATGGACGGGGAATACAGTAAATTTCCACTAAACTCATGTTTCCATGTCAAATAAGGTCTGGATATATAAAGAAATGCTACGAGAGCTCAGGACTGCTTTCTCTGTGTCAGATCAGCCCGTGAAATGCTGTGTCGGTGAGATCTTAATGTCGGGTTAAAGATTTTCCTCTTTGTTCCAGAACATTGGCTTGCAACTCAAGTAAACCAGAAGTCACTTAAGAGTTCAGGGCACACACAAGGCATGAATGAAAGTACAGCGTCTGTGGGAAGATGAACACAGAAGACCTGACAGCTGGATGAACAACACACTCGACGAGCCGCTGAAATATGATCAGGCCCTTTTCTGCATATTCTGAGGGAGGGTTGATGTAAATGTGTGGGTTAGTGACGTACCATAACCCAGCTGTAGTCCCAATCCAGTCGTTTTTGTAGGCGTTTACACTTCCTGATTTTAAAAGACGATATCTCTGCTTACACTGAACTTTCAGCGCTGCAACTCTGCAGATACTGTTCATGCACCAACAGCAACATTACACACTATTCAACATCAAAAAAGTGAAATCACAGTCAACCCCCCCTTTAAAATCAACACGAGGTTTGAACATCTTCTCTTTCTTCTGCCACTGTGGTAAGTCAACTTATTCTCAGTCCCTCCAGGATTTCACGATTTTTTTTTTGGTGATTTTTGCGATCAAAACGACTGATTTTGTGGTGGTAATTTCCAAAAATTTGTGATTTATATATAACATTTACCATAATAGTATTCTACCCTATTGAGAAGTGTTGAGAAAATGTTGTTTGCATTGTTACGGGTCGGAAAGCTCTTTGTTCAAGAAATCCTTGTTTGACTAAGCAACGAGAAACAACATCTAAACTTGGAAAAGCATCTTCCAAATGATCCAGACATAAACACTGAACACACTCCTCCATCACAACACCCTCACAGCATCATCACCCGGAAAAGAGACTGAACATTACACATCATAAGAAGATGAAGATGACAGAGTCCAATAGTGTCACTTCACTAAAGATCTATTGTGCATCTTCTCACTCACAGATCCGGATAGCTTCACACACATTAGGATGGGAAGCGGATCCCATGACATAACACACGCGATTCACCCCACCCTGCAAACTCATGGAAAACACATATTAATGGCTACAGTCACAAATCAATGCAATGCATCAAAAAGCAGAGGCAGACTTGCTATTAAATGTCAGAATGTTTAAACTTTCAGATTGTTGTCAGGCCCCTGATTTCTCAACAAACCACTAATAACAGAAACATCATAACTAAAGAGATCTGAAGTGTGATCGCTTCAATCAATTACAGAATTCACAATTCAACCCTGTCATTGACTGTGACTTAGCCAACACACACACACACACACACACACACTGATTGATTACACTGACCTCTTGCTGCATTTCCTTTGCATAATTCATACCAAAAAAAATCTTTAAGAATTGTATATTTAATATGAGACATCCTTACCATTCAGGACCTTGAGAAACATATGAGACAGATGTACCATTCACACTTGCTGACAAGAACATGGTGTCTCCAAATGTGGTTTGATAAACAAGGTTCGGGAGGAGCAGGTGCAGTTAATTAACCCAATCAGCACCAGTGGAGAGCAATCAGTAATCAATCTAGGCCAAGATCAATATCAGCAGAACCCACACTTGCTCCTTGGCAGTTTATCAGCATCCCACCTCCACCCCGTCTCCTCTCTCTTACTTCCATCTCCTCTTACCACGAGGGAGTGCTCTGGGCTCGGGTCCCTCCACCCGGACAGCACGCCGAGTACGCATAATCTTCTTTATCATAATTATATGTAGATGCGAACTCGTGAACAAAGCAGTGTGAGGCCAAGGAGAGTCCCTTCACCCACTGAGGTCCGTCCAGACACCCGCACCGCTGGAGGAGACAGGATTGGTCAAGAACGGACAGATTAGCCTTATGGGGAAGGTGTATTTAAGCAAGAACAAGTGGTCTAGCTTTTACGCCATTTTAAATAAAGAGGGTTTTGAGTCACGGCTCAACTTTTATGGCTTCTTGTGGTTACTAATTGAGGAACAGTGGGTTTGCAAAGCTCAATGTAGGCCATTTATATTTCCTCAAATGTGTTGTTTGGTGTGCTGATTCACCACCGACTTTACACCAGCATCACATTTCCTTCGGTTGGAGTACATTGGTGGATTATACATATTCCCTTTTCCAACTCGTTTCTAAATTATAAATTTTAAAAGCCCCTTTTGATTTACTAATCAAAAACAAAAACAATCAAAAATCAATCAAAAACTTTATTGACAAAGGCAAGCAAATTAAATGACAGATTAATCCAGCATTAGTAAAGTGAGATCTGTGTCTTTGAGAGAAATGTGTGTGTTTAGTCGAGCTTCAGTATTAGAGATCTGAACTATAAGAACAACACAAGACATGTGAGACTTTAACTGTGATTAGAAGTCATTTTTAAAGTCCCCAATCAAATATGAATGACTCGATCAGTAAAGAAACAGTATTTACAATGACAAACACTCACATTAACACTTTGAGCACTAATGAGTTCAGGAGAAAATATGTTGCTGTTTGTTCTCAGATTATGAAATAAACCACATTAAAAATAAACATACAGTAAATGCCAGCATATAAAGCCATTACACATATATGAAGATTAATAAATGACTAAAAATAGAAATCTGATAAATGACACATTAGGTTTCTGATGTGTGAATATGAGCTTGATCTCGTTCAGCTCTTCTGGATCTGATTTCATAAACCACAAGAATGACAGTAGCCACGCCCACCAGAGCAGAGAGGACCAATCGGATCACAGCTTCAGTAGGACCACAGCAGTGGACAGAGTCTGAGGAGTAAAAGCATCAAACTGAGATCAGATCAGTTCATAAACGCTAATATCAGCGCTGACGTCAGCTAATATCAGCCGTACCTGAACATGTGTGACAGAGTTGAGGGATGTGGAGATGTTGAGTCTGGTTGCTGATGGGATTGTTCAGCACACAGATGTAGGTGTTTTTATCCTCATATTCCACATCCAGAGGCAGAGAGAGACTCATGTTGAGATCAGACACACTGATGTTGGACAATAAACTGGGTCCTTTATACCAGGAGAGAGTCACATGACCCACATTCACAGCTGAACACACCAATGAACATGAAGATGAAGATGAAGATGAAGAACAGTCTCTGCTGATGACAGGAACAGGCAGACGAGCTGGAAAACATCAGAGAGAAAAGATCATCTAATCTAATCAACAATCTTCTTTCAGTTCAATCAGTGTATGATCCATCATCTCAAACTATAAAACGATTCAACAATTAATAAATATGTAAATAATTGGTTAAAAACAAGAATATTTGAAGGACAGGAGATCTGATCTCTACTCACCATAGACTGAAACTCTGAAAGCTTTTACTGAGAAACTGTAATATCCTTTCCTACATTTGATCTTATAATCTCCAGCATGTTCAGTTGTGATGTTTGTGATGGTCAGAGATCCAGTTTGATTGTTCAGCTTCAGTCTGTCTCTGAATCTCCCGAGATAATCATCATATACAGTGATTCTGTCGGCCGTTACATCAATTTCAGCGATTAAAATGTTTTCATCTCCAAATATCCACCGAATCCAATCATAATCCATTATTCCAGTGAGATCAGAGTTTATAGTGAGTGATTCTCCCTCCATCACTGATATTTCAACTGGATCAACAAACAGAAAAAGAGTTAGCAGAGATATTGATATTTATATTTCAAATGAACAATTTCATAAAACAAAAACAGAAAAGAAACAAAATGGTGTTTAGATTCATATTGTTTAGTTTGATTAAAAAAATAAAATGGTAAAACAAATATTTAACCAACCAAAGACAGCGAGAAGGACTCTAATGCCCGGAAACCAGATAGATTCAGTTTGTGTACCATATTGTTTATAATCTCCAGTCTGTTCAGTTGTGATGTTTGTGATGGTCAGAGATCCAGTGTGTTTGTTCAGCTTCAGTCTGTCTCTGAATCTCCCATCAAGAACATCATCATATACAGCGATTCGGTCGGGCGTTACATTGATTTCAGCGATTAAAGTTTCAGTCTCATCATTATAATCTCCAAACCTCCACTGAATCACATCATCATCCTTTATTTTAGTGAGACCAGAGTTTAGAGTGACTGATTCTCCCTTCATCGCTGACCTCAGAGACGGCACTGGTACTGATATCAGAAACACACACAGAACAAACACAAACAGGGTTTGTCAGATTAATAATGTGAAATCACTTAATAATGTTTTACTAAATAGTTTAAAATGTTGGTTTGAAATAATATCATAAAACAAACAAAAATAATCAAAATGGTGAATGAATTAATTTAAATGTTGTCATTAAAAACAGGTGAAACAAATGTGTTTAGCCTCACCAAAGTCACGAATATAGATCGTTCTCTTCCTCACACCGTTGATCTGTGGAGAATATTGTCCCCTCTGTTCAGTTGTGATGTTTGTGATGGTCAGAGATCCAGTGTGTTTGTTCAGCTTCAGTCTGTCTCTGAATCTCCCATCAAGAACATCATCATATACAGCGATTCTGCCGGCCATTACATTGATTTTAGCGATTAAAGTTTTAGTCTCATCATTATAACCTCCAAACTTCCACTGAATCACATCATCATCCTTTATTTCAGTGAGATCAGAGTTTAGAGTGACTGATTCTCCCTTCATCGCTGACACTGACGGCACTGATGCTGATATCAGAAACACACACAGAACAAACACAAACAGGGTTTGTCAGATTAATGCCGTGAAATCACTTAATAATGTTTTACTAAATAGTTTAAAATGTTAGTTTGAAATAATATCAGAAAACAAACAAAAAGAATCAAAATGGTGAATAAATTAATTTCAATGATGTCATTAAAAACAGGTGAAACAAATGTGTTTAGCCTCACCAAAGTAACTAATTTTGATCGTTCTCTTTCTCACACCGTTGATCTGTAGAAAATAAAGTCCAGTCTGTTTAGTTGTGATGTTTGTGACGGTCAGAGATCCAGTGTGTTTGTTCAGCTTCAGTCTGTCTCTGAATCTCCCATCAAGAACATCATCATATACAGTGATTCTGCCGGCCATTACATTGATTTCAGCGATTAAAGTTTCAGTCTCATCATAATAATCTTTAAACCTCCACTGAATCAAATCATAATCCTTTATTTCAGTGAGATCAGAGTTTAGAGTGACTGATTCTCCCTTCAGCATAATCATCTCTTCATATTCTTCACCAAACACACCTGAAGAACAGAGTTTTTCACAAAGCTTTAAATCACTTGATGTTGGTTTGATGAAGCTTCACTAGAATAATTTTAAATCATTTAAATGTGATATTAATAATATTCTTCTGCAACACAAAGACAAAATATGAAAAATGAAATAGTAGAAATAGATTTATATATGGAACAAAAACGTCTCGGTTACGTATGTAACCCTCATTCCCTGAGTAGGGAACGGAGACGTTACGTCTCCCTGCCACTTCTGCTGTATCGCTGGGTAGACGCCGAGTTCAGTCTTGGCTCCGAAGCGAAGACATACTGCGGTTGCGTTCACTTCCTCCTTTTATACTCACGGAGTAGGGCGGAGTACGCTATGCAAATTTCCGCAGCGCCAAGGCATTGCATGCCATTGGCTCGTGTTTAAATACTCGAAGAGGATTGGCTTTCTATGCGAAATCCCCCCAATCTCCGTCACTTCTGACGTAACTCGAAGTGACTACGAAAGGGAACTAAAAATACACTTTAACTTTAATGTTTTAACAAGTTCTAGGTTGAATTGACTGTTGCTGTATAAACTCATGCTGTGCTTCTTTTCTGTCTTTAGTAGATTTCTTAAACGTTATTGTATTTAAAAAATCAAATAAACACACAGAAGAAGCACAGCGTGTGCAAACTATTATATCCATATATCTTTAGTAGGCAAGGCAAGTTTATTTATATAGCACATTTCATACACAATGGTAATTCAAAGTGCTTTACATAGAAGAAATTAAAATAATCAAAAGAAATCAGAATAATTAAAACAGTTTAGAATTAAAGTAGAGTAACAGTGGGCCGAACAGTGTCACAGTGCTCATTCAGTAAATGCACAGCTGAACAGAAGTGTTTTGAGTCTGGATGTGAATGTGATGCTGTAGGAGCACACCTGATCTCCTCTGGAAGCTGGTCCAGCATAATAGCTAAAGCAGACTCTCCATGCTCACAGTGAACCCTCCGTGTTTCTAGCTGATGTGATCTAATGATCTGAGCGATCTGTTGGGTTTATATTAATCTGCAATATTTTGAGAAAAGATGTCCTGATGCAGATTGCATGATCTCATGAAAGTGCGTATCTATACCATGAATTTAATTTCTCGTGCTATTTATACACCAAAAATGATTTTTGCGTGCATGTGATACACACTGTAAATCTCTTGGGTCTGATTAGGGGTGTGGAGTCATCCCAAGACGTCATATAACTGACGTCAACATCCGCCTTTTTAGGGTACGTCGGTTAGATGACATTATCGGATCCTAACCCAACCCCAGACCTAAACCGACCCCGTCACCAAACTGACGTTAAAGGTAAAGCGTCAGCTGTGTGACGGCCCGGGATCGCCATCTAAACGACCTTTAAGGGTACCCTAAAAAGGAGGATGTTGACGTATGGTCAAAAGACTGTTACATGAGACTGTGTTAGTATAACTAACTAGTAATTACTAAAGTATTACTAAAGACATTTTCTAAAAGTTACTAAAGTTCACCAAAAAATCTCAAACATTTGCACAAATCATGACTAGATCATGTAGTAACACTTGAGTAATTACTAGTTAGTTCCAATGATCTTCACTTTATAATACGAATCCAAATAATTAGTAATTCCCACAGAAGTATCTAGTAACACTTTCATCTGTGAACCATTACTTACTAATTCGTTAATAAGAGTTTATTTTAGTTAATAGTAGTTACTAGATTGTTAATAAACTTTTTCAGTAGTTCTCTGGGAAGAATTAAAAAAATAGTAGTTATTGATTACTTAATAGTGAACTACCACTTTCGTCTGTGCGCTATTACTTACTAGTTCGTTAATCAGAGTTTCTTGTTAGTTAATAATATTTACTAGATTGTTAATATTGTGTTACTCATTAGTTCTTGTGTAGTTATTCATTAACGAAGGAACCGTATTCTAAAGTGTTACCGACGTATGGTCAAAAGACTGTTACATGAGACTGTGTTAGTATTACACGGCAAAAAGTGCACATCATATACACGCCAAAACTATTTCTGTTTTATATAATAAATAAATATACAGCCTATAAATGGCACGAGAAATGTAATGTGTGGTAAATACGCACTTTCATGAGATGGGGCGGTCCTGACCCCACTTTCTGCCTAATAACTGAGTTTAGACCTGAATTCAAACTTGCTCTCACAGTAAAATCAGCTCAATTATTTCTACATGAGAATAACAGTTACATTTAATAATCGCTGGATAATTTAACCTGTAATTTATTACATGAGAAGAGAAACAACCAAAGTAATATTTAAAACTCACCATCCAGACGGCAGAAACACAGACAGAAGAAAACAGTGCGAAACATCTTCAGTCCACAAATATGAAAAGACAAACTCTTCAAAACGGCTTCAGGAATAAAATGACAGATGATCTGAGGTGAAGCTGCTCTTAGTAACATGAAGTCAAACTCCACCAACATCTGAAGTAACTGTATGGGGGGCGGGGGGGGGGTGGTATTTCAACTAATTTGCGGTAAAACTAGTCGATCACGAGTGGCTCATCTGGTAGATCTATAGATAAACTCATCTTTCAGGCATTTGATCGACCGGGTTGACACATCAGCGTGAGAAATCAGGAGTGTGGTGTGAGAGCGTGAGAATTGGCTCGATTGCTTGAGTCTCACGCTGAATGAGTGTTAATGCGGGTGACCATCTTATACTTTTATCTGATAATTCTCTGATGTTTATCACAAGTGCACCTCGACTTCCTCGAGATTATAAAATGTTCATCAGAAATCCACATGTGTGAAAAGTGTCTGAATCAACAGTTTGCTACTTTGATAAGAAAGCATCAGCTAAAGTTATTGCTCATGTAAGCATTACTGATGAAGAACAGCGGATGAATCGTCCTCATCTGTAATGTTACTGTATGGGATCATCAGCACAGAGAGAGAATTAAGGGAAGACACACACAGACTGGTTGTTTTAATTTTGTATAAATCAAGCCCTGACTACAAACACTAAATCTCTTGCATAAAAGGAGAAACCGTGTTTTATAAAAACCCGTTTTTAAACTCACCAACCGAACACAAACACAAACACAACTAAACTAATTTCAGAAACGCTTTATTCATCGGTTCTCGGGAAAGCCCTTAAATGTCTGAAAACGTTCGATTACTGCCGTAACCCGGTTCTCTGATAACAGGAAGTGAGGTATCTCACTATGGGAACGCCCCTGGGCGTGTCCGATCGCGGAAGCACCAATCACAGCACGGCTGCCAACCATGGA